CGTTCCCAGACTGCATGAATTTAAACGCGCTACTAGGCTGGCATCTCGGTCCGACCCTTTCACTGTAGAAACGGTTAAATGTAGCCGTCTCTTCTACTCTAATAGTTTCGTCTCTCGCACCTCCCATCTGTGGAATTCCCTTGTTTCCCTGATAGCTATAATCTTCAACTATTCAAATATAATGCCAATCGACATCTCCAGATGCCTTTATCTATTCCCTGTCCTTCTCTTCATCCTTTCATCTGTCACCCCTCGTTACACTCGCTCTGTGTAACCCCTTGCGTGATAGTGCCATCCTGCCTTGCGTGGGGTGAAAAAAACTAAGATTATCCATCATCTAAAGCCTCGATATCTTTATATCCCCTTCCTTATCACGTTCAATCTTTTTGCTCGCATATTTTTTTTATAAATCTAAACTAGTTAAACCCGTGGAAATTCATCGAACGATTTGTTACTGATCTTCGTATAGGTTTTATATAGGATATATATTCTTGGGTGTGCAGGTAGGGTAATGGATAGCAGCGAAAAATGAGATATTGTAGAGCCGCGTTCGAATTCCAGTAGAGTTCTTTATATTTATGTTGTAACATACCTACGGACGATAATAGATATTTCCCCATTCACATAATACAGTAGTAAATACTGTATGTTGGTCTAGAGTTGTAGATTCATCTCCAGCTGTGCTGGTCAAACTCTCTACCTCCGGTCAGAGAGGATCCCCAGACGAGGCTATGTCGAAGGGCAGAGTCTTGTCTCGGGAAACAGCTGCCCGATCCCGTTTTATACGGTGTCTACGGGGGAATTTTTGGCTGAGCTTACGGGCTCTAATACCCCACATTAAATTCTGCCTTGTGTCACATCTGACCGCGTTTGGGAGGTTGGTAGATATCCTAGATTTGAAGATTCATTGTGGAATTCGCTTGACTCACGTCTAGTAGTTGATTACTTTTCCTACGCACCGCTGTCGAATCTTATATGTGTTGTTCTTGTCCTAAGTATTATCGTTCATTACCAAACTTCGTTTGATTATTCTATTCAGTAACCTTCCCTAGGTTACAATAATTTACTTCTATGCAATTACCCTTGAGAAAGATATGAATCCATCTCTCTCCCCCAGTTATAGGTTAAATAGTAGAGGAAACCGGTCTCTTGCCTTGATTGGCAACCAGTCTAGGTGAAGGAGAAATTCTGAATTCAAAAACCGTATGTAGCCATGGTGAAACACATAATGTTAACGAAAGGATCGTAGCATTTACAATGAGTATGACCTCGGCCTTTGTTGGTATATATAGGCCATTGAGAGCTTATGAGGCGAAGAGACGTGGGAAACCTACTACGTTATCTACAACCACAACACGCCTCAAGAGACAAAACAGCTAATAACCTAAGTTTAATAAAATTTATTTCAAATACCAAACATTACAACGGAAGGAAGCATAAGAAGAAATAAGTAAATAAATATTTAAAATATGTAGAAATAAAAAAAATACAATATAATGCAGTAAAAACAAATAAAATGAACAAATTTAATGTTAGGAGTATGGGGTCGTTACTAATATCATAGTAGCAGAAATTAGTCTCGTGTTCATGGAGATAAAAGCATACTTGACAGAAAATAAAATGTACAGAAATAACAGGAAACGCATAGTAAATAGTATGTTAATTTCATACAATTTATTTATATTTTTGTGTGTATTTTTTAGATTACAATTGTTTTATGGTGTATGTAATAAAAGTGAGAATATACTCCGTAGTATTACAAGCCATATCACAGACAGAAGTTATACACGTGTTGCCCGCACCAACGTACGTAGTGAAGAGATTAAATTTAACGTCTTTTGGCGAGATGTCCGTATTTCCGGCAGAAACAGTTTTTGTTATTTGCTGGGAGTATTTTTATTAATTTTAATTTTTCATTTAATTTATTTTATATAACGTTTTTATGTTATTGTTTTATTTTATTTTATTTATAATTTTCATTATTATTATTATTTTATTTTTAATTTTTATTTATTCATAATAATAATAATAATAATAATAATAATATATCTACAGGAGCACAAAACAAAGAAACTGGAAAAACCGGTTTCTTTTTCCCATAAACACCCAGTGGCATTCAAAATCATAAAACAAGTATTAATTAGCAATAATTTCCCAACTCGTATAAATGCACTAAACTAACCTTACAAAAATAAATTAACTAACAATAATACAAATAGCAATAACACAAAAAAGCGCCATTAGCCTATTCCACACAAAAAGCAAAAACACAGAATCCATAAACTTCTGGGTGCCCAGTAAAAAAGCGGTAAATTCAAAAGGACGTGAGACAACCGTTGAAAACTGGTGACTGAAAAAAAAAATTACGGCGACTTCCTTGATGAATTTCATCTTAACATCAAAAAACTTATTGGAAAGGTAAGTATAAAAATAAGTAGACACAATATGTCTATATTATTTAATTAAACATGTATGAATGAAGATATGCTGCTTATATATATATATATATATATATATATATATATATATATATACGTGTGTGTATGTGTGTGTAAAATAACATCAGTTAGTGAGGAAATAAGCACACACACATACATGCATACACACACACACACATATATATATATATATATATATATATATATATATATATATATATATATATATATTTAAATTATTTGCTCTGGATTTACATTGAGCTCTCTGGATTTTATCCTCCTTAGGTTTACCCATAGGGATTACCTAGTTTTTCATAAACTATATATATATATATATATATATATATATATATATATATATATATATATATATATATATATATGATGGACTCTCCTGTCGTTTTCGATGTATGAGTGTCTTTCAGTTCAGTTTTTATGTTTATGTTTCGTATGAGACAACAATCCGGAACAGGATTTGCAAACAAATCCAAACGAAGGACATACTGAAGGGTTGACCATGATATGGGTTGGTGCATTAGCCGGAGATTTAGTGTTAATTCTTAATTCTCTCAGATGGTTGAGACGATTCTTTTCAAAGTAAGTTATACCTCGGTAGCAGGTGTTTCGCCAGTTTGCTCCGTTTTCAACAGCAAATTCGAACTCGTCTATAAGGATGTTTACAACATTTAAATTGTATTTAAGTTTCTCCTTTAAACGTAAACAAGGACGGCCTACATTACTGCATATATATATATATATATATATATATATATATAACGTTATTTTTTTCGTGGATACCCATGTTTGAATAGTCTCCCAGTTTATTTATTAAACAGAATATTAATTTATTATCGTCTCCTGGCCTGAATATTCCTGCGATCTTATTAAAGAAAAATATGCCAGGGAGCGCATTTTTCATATTTCTTTAATAAGATTTCTCGAATATTCAGGCCTGTAGACGAAAAAAATATATATATACTGTTTAATAAATAAATGGAGCGTCCACTCAAATATAGCTATCCAAAAAAAAAAATAACGTTTAAGTAATAAAACCTGCCGGGTTAATAAATAAAAATTCACCACTTCTTCAGAAATAAATAACTATGTATCTATGTGTCTATCTCACTCTCTCTCTCTCTCTCTCTCTATATATATATATATATATATATATATATATATATATATATATATATATCAGGCCATCTCATAAGTTCTGTCCGAATTTTAACTTTTTGTTAAAATGAACGAAATTTAAAGAGTATTTTATAATGTCTAATGGAGCTGAACATTATTTTTATGTTTAGATGCATTTAAACTGATCAAATTTTATTTCAGAGAACAATAAAATTAAATTTTGTTTGATTAAAACCCTGCTAACATGGAAGTACCCAAGTATCATTTAAGGCACATAATGATTTATGAGTTCAAGAAAGGAAACTCAGCAGCCGAAGCGGCTAGAAACATTCACTCGGTTTATGGAGAGGAATGTGTGAATGAAAGAACTTGCAGAAAATATTAAGCAAAATTCAGAGGTGGAGATTTCACCCTTGAAGATGAAGATCGAACCGGACGTCCAGTTGAGTTTGATGAAAAGCTTCTTGAAGCAGCCCTTGAAGAAAATCCTGTTTTATCAGTTGAGGAATTGGCAGTGGTTCTCAGTTCAAACCATACAATTGTTCATCGTCATATTCAACAACTTGGAAAAGTTCCTAAACTTGGAAAATGGGTGCCTTATGAATTGTCTGAAAACAACCTCAAATCCCAAGTTGACATCTGCTCTTCTCTCCATTCTCGCCAACTTGTTTCAACTTTTTTGGATAGACTTGTCACTGGCGACGAAAAATGGATCTTTTATCGAAATGTTAAGCGTCGTAGATCGTGGCTTGGTAAAGGGGAAGAACCTTAGCCACAGCCGAGAAGGGAACTTCATGGGCAAAAGGTTCTTCTTTCAATCTGGTGGGATCGCCAAGGAATAATCCACTTTGAATTCTTACCACCTAATGCAACAATTAATGCTCAAATATACTGTCAGCAATTAGAGCGTTTGAACCAGGCTTTGAGGAAAAAAGACCTGCTCAAGTGAATCGAAAAGAGGTGATGTTCCATCAGGACAATGCGCGACCCCACACAGCAAGAATCACGTCTCAAAAGATCGAAGAACTTCGTTGGGAGAAAATTCCTCATCCACCTTATTCTCCCGATCTTGCTCCTTTAGACTACCATTTGTTTCGTAGCTTACAGAATCATTTGCAAGAAACAGCTTTTGTAACACAGGAAGAGGTTAAAACTGACATTTGTCAGTTCTTCGAATCAAAGCCAAAAGAATTTTAGAGTAACGGAATTAGTAAGCTTGTTAATAGTTGGAAGGAAGTCCTAGATAATCAGGGAAAATACATTGTTGATTGAATCTGTAATTAAATGTAACATTTGGTCATTTGTTTTCGTCATTCAAAATGGGATGACCTGATATATATACTCGTTTAAGTTATAACACCTGCCGAATTAATAAATACAAATTCACCACTTGTTCAGAAATAACTATCTACACACACACACACACACACATAGATAGATAGATAGATAGATAGATAGATAGATAGATAGATATCCACAGACACACTGTTTCGCTGTATCACAGCTCTTCAGTGTGGCTAGACATCCGATTGCTTCAAGCCGGGATCGAAATCCTACCGATTTAGTATCACTTAGAGATTCTACCCCTAGCCTATTGTCGCACGGCAGAGGGGAAAAGAAATTTTAACGTTTTCTATGTGAAATACGTCAATGGCTCGGAGAACTCAATTCAATTCGGTTGAAGAGTAATGCATTAATAGCGGTATGAGCCACTGTTTTTAAGATTATCCTTTTTTCAAGAGAACTCAAACAGATTTTCCGGGAGCTTATTTATTTGCTTTAAACGTTATTTTTGATGGATACTCATATTCGAGTAGAAGCTCTGTTTTTTTAATTCACCAGTATTATTTACTTAAACAGTATTTTTTATGGTCAAGCGCATCAAATCGAATAACGGTTCCCTATAGGTGATGCAGGTTCGAATCCTGCCGGAGGACGCCTATTTTTCTGACAAGATTTTCTCGAATATTCAGGCATGTGGATGTAGGTGGATAAAAAATACTGTTTAATTAAAAAAAAAAAAAAGAGTTTCTATTTGAATATGAGTATCCATAAAAAAATAACGTTTAAAGAAAATAAATTAAAAATAACAATATGTCGGATTTAATCCACATATATATATATATATATATATATATATATATATATATATATATATATATATATCATTTGTTTATTTACGGACGGAGATTCTGGCTATGTCTGTCACAAGTTTGCCATTGATTGACAAATATCACTAAAGAGAGACATAGGTTTTCGGGTGACGGTGCGCCTCCTTTTTTGTTGAGTCACTGAGTGAAAAAGCCTTGAAATTTTTCTGGTGTCAAAAGGGCCTTTCCGCAACGTCTGTTAACCATTTGTAGTGATCGATACCACTGCAGATCAGGTCCCTTTTAGGGAATCCAGGTATCCCTTTTACCGGTGCTCATCTACTGCGCTGACCGGAGGCCTGCTCGCTGAACAATAGCTGTCTTTAGAATTCGAAGGTCTTCTATCCTCAGGGGTTTTATTTTACCTCGCTGATGTTGAAAGTCAGTATTCCAAAACCTACCTCGTCTTGAACCGGTAGGAAATACTCACCTACCACAGATCTCTAGCAAGCGCAGATAGATAGATAGATAGATAGATAGATAGATAGATAGATAGATAGATAGATAAAGATGAACAATTTACCATAGATAGATAGATAGATAGATAGATAGATAGATAGATAGATAGATAGATAAGAAGAAGTTACCATAGATAGACAGAGAGGGAGATATGAACAAGTTGCCATAGATAGATAGATAGATAGATAGATAGATAGATAGATAGATAGATAGATAGATAAGAAGTTACCATAGATAGACAGAGAGGGAGATATGAACAAGTTTCCATAGATAGATAGATAGATAGATAGATAGACAAAGATGAACAATTTACCATAGATAGATAGATCAAGTACAGTTTATAGATTTAATAAAACTCAGTAAATTTTTTTCTCGTCAGAATCCGTCTTAAACATTTACGAATCGTCCATTTTGATCCGTGCATTGAATACTGCTGCCATATCTGGTCTGCTGCTCATATTGTATATCTCGTGATTTTCAACAAAATCTAAGGAAGGGTCTGTAATGTTATCGATCCTGACCTGGCATCTCGAATTCACTCATTATCCCACCGCCGTGACGTGGTTTCCCTTCTGTCTTTTCTATATTTTCATGTCAGTTGTTCTCAGGAGCTCTTATCCTTCTACCTGAACTGCATGAATTTAAGCGTACATCAAAATTGGCAACAAACCTTCATCGTTTTACTGTTGAATTAGCGAGATGTAACTAAGTTCTATCCTAAGAGTTTCTTTTCTCGCACTTCTCGCTTGTGGAACGCTCTTTCGAATTCTTGCTTCCCTGTCACCTACAATTTTCAAAAAATTAAATGCAACGTCAATTGCCATCTTCCTGGATCCTTTTTGCCTGTTCTTGTATTGCCCTTTCTCTTCACTAAAGTCTTCTTATTCTCTTTCACTTCTAATAATCCCTTGCGTCTTAGTGGCATTATCGCCTTACATGGGGGGAAATAATTAAAAGAAATCTTTGTAAAGAAAGTGACAATGTCTTCTTTAAATTGATACTAATAATATATTTACTGCCTGCTTAAAGTAGACTTCAAAACGAAAATGATGTCAAGGGTGTCATTGCTGCAATCTTTCACCTTGAATCGTGAAATCAGTATAAGTTTTTTTTATGACAAGATTATAAATAGTTTCATGCAAATCATTTTCGTAGTTCCTTATTGGACAAAAATTACAGAGATTCAATTAAAATAGGAAACGAATTTTTTTTTTATTATTATTAAAAAATGGGCATATCGAATTTTTATTTGAGAAATTAAAAATAAAAATGACAAAATTAAACATAAAAAATTAGTGCCCAAGTGGAAAAAATGTGATATATCGGTTGTAACAGCAAAATTGTCTAAATCGTGTAACAGCAAAATTGTTCATCCCACAAAATGTTTAATATCTAAAAAAAAAACAAAAAAAAACACAAAACTAATTGATTTTTTTTCAGGTTTTCAGATAAGACAATTAACCATCTTGACATCATTTGTCGTAAGAATTACTGAAAAGTTTTTTGAGTTATTCAGCTAGAAAGAGTAGAGATTAAAACTGTTTTATGTCAGCCCCACTGTCTTCCCAAATAACCAATTGTGGGAGGAAAAAGATCATCGAGATATTCAGTAATGACACCACTATTCATACTCTGGCTTCCATCTTCAAATCCATCAAGAGAACGGTGAATAAATTTAAAAAAAAATAGAACAATAAAGAGGAAAACTGAATCAGGGGGTCACAGCAGGAAGAGGGGTGATCATTTCAACTTAAAGCTAAAAAAAATCAATCAAAAAAGATCCAATTCAATCCGTAAGACGTTTGGCGCGTGAGAGAGGAGTTTCAGTTATGACAGTCCAAAGAGCAGTGAAAAAAGACATGAAAATGAAATCGTACGTGAAACCTGTGATGCACTTTGTTAGTTCAGGATGCGAAGTTAGAAGGTTCTAAGAAGGGTGTAGATCATCTTGAATAAGTTAGAAAATGATCTTGGAATAGCATATGCATATTTGAACATAATGTCAATCCTTCATGAGCTTCCAATCCTTAGCTATGTTTAATTAATGATAGACATCTCATTTTCGTTTATGATCGATTTCATCACGATTCTTCTGTTTAGCTTGCAGAGTAATTATACATTCATATTGCTCAAAATAGAGTTAAAAAAAAAAAAAACCTCGGTGAATTCCAGTAAGATAAATTTAATCATTTCTACGAGAGAACAGTTCTAACAATTGGATAATTTTTGCTATTGCACGATTTCGACAATTTTGATGTTACGCATAGTATATATATATATATATATATATATATATATATATATATATATATATATATATATATATATATATATATATATATATATATATATATATATATATATATATATATATATATATATATATATATATATATATACAAGTATATAATTGGTGTATACGGAATGAATTCCAATTTAAATTTGAAACAAAATGACTATTTTTGTAATGATTTTTATAACATGTTTATGTTATAAATTTTTTAAATAAATAATTATATATATATATATATATATATATATATATATATATATATATATATATATATATATATATATATATATATTTATTGTTTAAGTTACACTGATTATGAGAAAAAACTTGTCCGGATTAGGGATAGAGGGTTTGTAGAAATAAACAGTGGGGGACATAAGATTTCGCACTGCATTGTGATTGGCCGTAAGTGATTATCAGAACAGCTGAATAATTTCTAAATTCTCATGTTTTTCATAAACACACGCATATATATATATATATAGATAGATAGATAGATAGATAGATAGATAGATAGATAAAACAGAGTTTTAAGTTATGCTATATGTATGTGTTAAAGTACTCCATATCAGGGAGAGAGCGTATGTAAATATATTAGGTTGGTGCAAAAATAATGACGTAATAATGTCGTTTTTCACGTTAAAAATACGTCAAAAACGACATTATTACGTCATTATTTTTGCAACTAATAACATAAAAAATGGGCATTGAAGTAAACGCCCAGTGGCGACAGTCTGTTTCATGCTTATAGGTTTAGCATGAAACAAACTGTCGTCTCTGAGTGTTGACTTCAATTTCCACTTTCATATATATATATATATATATATATATATATTGGCTTTTGTGTTCCTTTTGTGTCAATAAAGAGACAATGGTTTAAATGCATTTATTAGATAGATAGATATGAACAGACTGAGATAGATAGATAGATAGATAGATAGATAGATAGATAGATAGATATGAACAGACTGAGATAGATAGATAGATAGATAGATAGATAGATAGATAGATAGATAGATGTCAGGAGAATGGATAGGTAGATATGAACAGACTGAGATAGATAGATAGATAGATAGATAGATAGATAGATAGATAGATATGAACAGACTGAGATAGATAGATAGATAGATAGATAGATAGATAGATAGATAGATAGATCTAGATGAGAATAAAGATAAGCAAATATTTAATAGATAGATAAACAGCTATAGATGAGATAAACGATAGATAGATAGATAGATAGATAGATAGATAGATAGATAGATAGATAGATAGATTAAAAAACAGACGAGTTTGAAAATAAACATGAAGTGATAAAACGGAAAATGAATATTACTAATGAAAGATATTGCATCTCTAATTTCTAATTCTATGTTTCCTACAACCTACATTCTTTCTTTCATCTGCCACATCGACTTCGGGTGTTGAAGAAGCCCTTACACCCGTCTTAACCACCAATAGACAGATTAAGATAGATGTAACTCCTGATCTAGCCAGCTAGCTAGCTAGATTGCAAGATAGCGGGTGAAATGGACAGCTAAATACAGACTAGAATTGATAGATACGAGCTGACTAGAATAACTAAATGGACATACCAGAAAAGTAAGCCAGCTACTAAAATAAACACACATATAATAGAATCGATAGCGAAAAACAGCACACAATCATGTAAGAGGCAATTATCACCCTCAGCCGTTCTTTCAGATCGAAGAACTCAGAATATAGCAACGCTAGATGCAACAACAACAAAGCATAGAACTCAGACCAGCGTTGTTATTAGTAGTAGCAATAGACGTAATGGAAGTAGCAGAAATGGAGGTAGGGTGATTGGCAGAGGTTTGGTCAGGAGCTGATGAAGATGATTACAAGGCATCAGTTAGTCTCAATGTTGGTATGCGGCAAAACGCGACGAATATTGATTGGCGCTTCGGTGTAAGGTTGGTACGAGGAATAGGTAATTCCGTGACAAGTAATGATTGTGAGTCGTGGTGCTAATAACCATGGCTGTGGCAATGATGACGATGAAAATAATAAGGCGACTAGAGGAAATGCGAATGATCGTAAGAATCTCATAATTTGGCTGTTATTACTTTTCTTAATAATAATGATAATGACGGCGATAATAATAATAATAATAATAATAATCATAATAATAATAATAATAATATTTAAAAATAAAGAGAATAATCATCGTTTCAAAAGTAATGGCATTGATAATGACGTCTGTCAAAATGAAGATGCTGGAGAATTAAGGAAAGCTGTCATTGTCAAATATGGTTTTCAGATACTCCGGGTATCCAACAACAACAATAATAATAATAATTGTCTGCTAGAATACTGAGGAGAGT